CCTTCAAATGGGCACACAAAGCACGGTAATTTTCTCTGTATAGAAAGACAACATCTTACTTAAGGGAAAAGTTACTATAACTTTCCAAGTCAGTGAAATTCCTTCAAAACTGTTTTGACAATTATGCATGAAGTGACACTTTTTTAGCTAACCTGGCCTAAAAATTTGGTTGATTATTTAGGGAATCACTGAAGCATGACTGGAGCGGGCCCCCTCTTAGGCAGTCAGTGGGTCCCCCCTTATTTCTGGATCCACCACTGAACAAACATGGTCACTGTTGTTAAAAACAGAACATAGGGGTAAAATTAAGTTTTTTGCTTAAAAATATAATATCTCAAAACAAAAGCAGTAAACTTAGTGCATTCTGACAAGTAGAATTGATCAGCAGGTTAAGTTAATTAATTATTTTTGAAATATTATATTAAATAAGAGATGCCTTAATTATGAATACTTAAAAAGAATACGGCAATTTTCAAATTGATATTGGTTCAAAAATCCTAAATAAAGGAAATATTCACTCTGTGACTGTCTAAATTGGTATATTTATTTGTTTGTATTGACCAAATCCTTCCAGAAATTATCCTTGCCGATTTGATAACATCACGATGACTTTAAATGGGCATAAAATGTTTATTTGTATAAGAAATCAAGTATATTAACACACAAGTTGGAAAACATTTTCTTTTATTGAAAATGTGATATAAATAATTATTGTGGTTTGCTGTATGTCTGGCGTCATTACAAAATCCAACATAAGTCTACTTTGTTATTATTTGATTTGTCGCCATAGTAATGATAATGGCAGTTGTTCAGTGTTATATTATTTCAAAGTATCTACACTAGCAGAGGAAAGATCATTGTAATGTTTGGTAATTCTTATAAATAATTCTCAAACAAATACCTCAATGCTTTGTATCAGCTGCCAATCATTTCACACACATGTTTATTCATCAATGAAACTGGTGGAATTCTTGCCAACAATCAAGGAAATTGTAAAAATGCATCTAAAACAACGATTGTGGTTTAGCAAATATGTAATCTTAACGGATAAATTACTTCACCTGTGAAACTTTTACCATTTGGCCAACTTTTCTTCAGTTGTATTAATGTCTAGAGTTCCATGTCTTATTATTCCTAAAGTTGTCTTCCCTTGTTTGTGCATGAGTTTTCCTTATTTGGGTGGTTTCAATGGACAAATTTGAATTATTTGTTGCATTATGGGATTTATTAGGCTAGGCTTCATTTACAAGGAAGCTGATACTACAATATGTAATATATCAGAATAGATGTTGAATTTCTGAATAAAGTCCAATTTATTATGTAATACTTCAGAATGTGCCATTAATTATGAACCTTCTATATTTTTTTCAGAATTGTGTTTTTTATTTCTTTTCAGGGACTGGGGTATGATTGTGTGAGCTTTCTCACATTTCCTCTTCTATATATTATAGGATATGCTAGAATAATTATATTAAGTCATAAATTATATAATGTTAATACCATGGTATTAAAAATTTAAAAATTTTTGATGCAAAAGACCTTTCGTAACCAGCATTTTATAGGGAAAACAGTCTGTTGGGAAATATCATAACTGCATTATAACCGAAGTGACTTCATAAAATGTATTCTTCTGTAGAATTAATGGCTCATGATAATTCAATAGGCTTCCATTGTTTGATTATGAGGGGAAATTTTTTATAGTCTTGCCAGGAATATTTAGTTTAATAAAGAAAATTGATGATTATATTATATCTATACTTTAATGAAAATCATTTGAGTTATTGTGCATGTTGTAATATGAAAAAGGATTATGCAGTGAGAAAATTCAATTAACTACAAAATGTACTGTAGCAGTTGTATCATCAGGCAGGTTTATCAGATGTTGATATGTGTCAGGGGAAATATTGGATAGGGTTTTAGAGAATTGCATTTGGAAAATTATTGATAATTTATTTTTATTTTTTTATTTGACACATACATGTAGAATTGAAACATTTAAACGTTATTTTCTAGAATCTCAGGTATTTTTAGTAGATTGTTTTGGTGCCATTTTTGTCTCACCTGCAAGGAAAGTTGCAGAATGCTAGACAAAAGGATAACAATATCGCAGCAATATTTTTTATAAAGATTTATATTTAAGAGGGTGGAAGACCCAGATGCTTCATAGAATGTATATAGATGCCTTATGTTACAAAGTTTCTGTCTGTCATAGGTCCATTGCCTTTATTTTCATGGGGGCAATGGCCCTATACATTGTATAGTTTTTTTGTCATGTAAATTTCTCCCTTAATATGAGAAATCGGATAACTATGTTTGGTTTGTTGGTTCCTTGCAAAGTTGATGTCTGTCAGACAGTCATTTCATGGATCGTTGATCCGTGAGGTTAAGCTTTCAAGGTCAATTTCATATCTCAGATACTTCAGGCAGCTACAGTCAAACCAAAAGTGTGTATGGAATGATTGTATTAGGTGTGCATGTTGATTTGGTAGATTTCATCTGACCTTGACCTAATTTTCATGGATCATATGTCTATGTTACGTTTTTTATGGTAAGGTCTGTTTCTCAGGTACTCTAAGCAATAAGTCAATTGTACTTGGTGCATGGAGTGATTCAATGTTTTACTCTGTCCGGCAAGTTCATCTGACCTTGATCTAATTTTCATGGCTCAAAGGTCACTATTAAGTTTTTGTGGTTAGTTCTTTTCTAAGATACTATAAGTAATAGGTTAACTATATTTTGTGTATGGAAAAACTATATTTTGTGTATGGAAAAACTGTATGGGGTACATGTCTGTCTGGCACTCTGGGTTCATCTGAACTTAACCTCATTCAGTGGTTGAAGTTAAGTTTTCTGGGTTAGGTCTGTTCCTCAGAAATTATAATCAATAGGATAACTATATTTGGTGTATGGAATGATTGTAAGGCAAAATAGACCTGTCTGACAAGGTTCATCTGTCCTTGACATCATAATTACCACATTAAATTCAAACAATAACTGAGGACAACATCAAGTTATTTAAGTGTGTTCTATACTTTCAACATATCAGCAAATTTGTTAAAGAACATTGAGCAAAGTGTTAGATATGAATCTCACAGAGAGTGATGCAGCAGACAAAATTACTGGATAGAACAATTAAGTTATTATGTATTACATGGCTGACAGAAGCACAATGTCGTAATGATGTTTTCGTTTCCAAGTTCATTATCACAACATGAATGCCTCCTACAATGTTGATTTATGTAAGCTTTTCAACGATAAAATTATGATACAAAACTATGCATCTTCATTAAAAGAGGGTGGTAAAGGGGGGGTGCTTGCACGGAAAAAACGTGAAATAAGACATAATTTCACGTTGAACGTGAAATAATTTCTGTCATGAACGTTGCACGAAAAATAAAGACTGTTGTGAACCTTTTGTGACTGAGTCATTGTCTTCTTGTATATATAAACTCTCTGTTTTACTTGTTATTCCCAATTTAGTATACACATTTATGATGTAAATGGTTTACGGCTTTTAAAAAAGTATTTCTTGACGATCCCTGCCAAATATTTAAATTTTATTTGAAAAATAACGAGCACACAAAATAAGCATTTTAAAATCACGATGCACGTAAAATTAAATAAGCAGAACACGTTGAACGAGGCACCGGTCTTGCACGACTGAACGTTAAATAAAAAAGTACTAACACGTTGAACGTGAAATAAAAATCGGCGATCACGTTGCACAAAAATAACCCTTTACCACCCTCTTAAAAGGATGTAGATTGCAAAAGGAAAACATAAAGCAATGGGACAAAAGTTATTTGGACCTTAGACTACTTAATGAAGTGCAAGGTTCTCATTATTTCATTTCTTTGAAATTTCTGGGCTTCTTTATTGAAACTTTTGGACCACTGCCAGAGATCTTAAATTGATGATAATATGATAAAAAATCTACCGGTTTTAATATTGAGTTCTTTGAATAACTTAAGTTCATTTCAGTTCTGAAATGACTTAAAGAAGTTCAAATTGTCAACATGATGTCAGAATTTTGTTTCCATTTAATTTAAAAAGTAGTATTCAGCTTACTATATATATATCTTCATTCAGGAGTATGCAACATGAATAAAAAATGAATATGGTCCTATAAAACTGTAGATGGTCATGATGGTCCAGTAATGGTGAAAATTGGTTTTGACAACAAAGAAAAAAAATTGCTTGAAATGAAATGCTTTTCACAAAATATGAAACATTGGGCCACAAAAATGAAACATTGGGGCCTTTTATAAGTCAACAGATAGAAAAACAAAACTTTTTTTAAGCTGCAATTTACATTCTTTACAGGAAACATGTGGTTTTCCTAGAAAAATGAAGTAAGGCCATAATAAAAAAATACTTCATTCCAAAATTCTGACATCCATGCCCACATTTTTTCAAACCTTAATTGATTTCTGATATTGTATTTATTTTGTAAGAATTTTTTACAAAAAATTGCCAAAAAAATTATTATTCATTTTTTGGAAAGTTTGCTATTTAGTTTGCTATAGCAATACTTTCCTAAGGTGTTGGCCTCAACCCGGAAGTAGCCAGCCTAACATACTATAGGATGTGTATTCTACTCCTAGATAATCTAGTACTAGTGTTTGAATACTAATTAAAAGATATGCCACATTCAAGTCATGGCAAAACATCTTCTCAATATGGGTGAAATAGTCCTTAGTTAGTGCTGTGTAAATGTGGTGAAAATATTCCAGTGCATATTGTTCTTACATTACTTCTGAAAACTTGAATTTTGATATCATTTCTCAGAAAAATTAAGTGATATCATGGATACAATTAAAAAATCTTATTAAAAATTAAAAAATCTTATTAATGAAAGAAGAACCAAAACAGAAAAGACAAAAGGAAAAACCAGTAAAGATTGAGTAACACATTTCACACTATAAAATATTTCATGCTCTTGAAGGGCATGATTTTTACATAAAATTAACATATATTTGAATACATTTATCTGTTGACAGCTCCAGATGAAAATGGCAGTTATACAACAAGAAATTCAAGATCTGAAGGGTCAGCTAGATACTGATGGTCGTCAGAGGCATTTCTCTAAAGACCAAAAAATAAGCAAGAAAATTGAGACTTTAAAAGAACATTCTAGGGAACTTTTGGTTGAATGTCGACAGAGAAAAGCTGCTGAGAGTGAAAGTGCTATGATTCTAACAGAAGATGACAATGTAAGCATTACTGTTAGTTATATTTGTGTAATCCTTTCACAGTGAGAGAATGATTATAGGGTTATTTATTCATTTGTTGTATAAAGATATTAAAGGAGATATGGTATCATTACCAATGAGACAACTATCTATCAAACTCATAGACCAAATGCCATAAAGATGTAAACAACTTTCTATGACCTTCAACACTGAGCAAAATCATAATTTATAGTAAGCTATAAAAAGTCTCAAGACAACAAGATTGAGATGTAAAACAGTTAAAAAGACAAATCAAAAGCTAATAACATATGTATGTCTGTTTATAGTAAGTTTTAACTAGGACTTTAAAGTTTGGTTTGACCTGGCAATGAATAGAATGCTGACCTGCTGTGCTCAAAGCAATTTCATTATTAAAAATTTTGTCATGTTAGCAAACACAAATATTAATCTATTCCAGTATCAAAACAATTACTGTTATTCAAAACTTTCTTAAAATCAAAATGAATTAAATCTAGACATTTATATATTTTTTTAAGTATGTATGTTAACTTCTTGAGATGTTTTTCAGTTATATGTTATGTCATTTTGGTTGATGATTCATTGCATATACCTCAAGTTACATTTATTTGAATTTATTTTCTTTAATTTGACTATGAACAAATTGGAAATACCAAAGTTGTAGTATTAAAAAATATATATGGTGAATCAAATTCACTGAAAAATAGTGGTATTTAAATGTTGTTGTTTTTGCTCTATAACATCAGTTCTGTGAATTAAAAACATCATAAAAACAAATACTGTGACCTTTTGCTATTGGTGTTTTTGATTGACATAACTGAATTAAACGATTTATTGATAGTGACAGACTCCTGTTCAGTAGGCTACACTAGTTGAATTATCTGATTGTAAGGTTATCCTGAAGAAGTTCAATAGCTGCACTTAATAAATGATTGGTTTTATCATTGAGCATTTGCCTTAACATCATTTAGTTCAGCATGCATCACTGGTGACTTTAGAAATATTGCTGTTTGACTCATTTAGTCCCCCGGGATCTTTCTAGAGGTTTTATTTGTCTAATTGTGAAATGGTGATAGGAAGTCAATAAAATTGAGAGCAAACAAGGTCAAATGACAATTATTTTGTCATTTTTATACAAATATTTATAAAAAATGTAAATTGCTTTTCAGTTGTATCCTGGTAGAGGAATAATGAAATAAGGAAACAATTCTTTAAGATGTGTAAATGTTAATGAATTAAACTTATAAACTTCTGAAGGTTTTTAGTTAATTTTGTATCTGCGGTATTTGAAACACACTCACTGTTTTCATTTTAAAAGAATTTTACCTTTTTTATAACTGTTACACATTTCAATATTAAGTAGCGTATTTTAGATATGTGATTTTGATGTTCACATAACAAAATGTGCATATTGAATATATATGGCAGCAAGTGGCTGCCTTTGTGGAATAACTGAACTTTATACTTCTGGCATAAACTTGAGTCTTTTATTATTGGAAAACCGAAAAACAACTTTTGCAGCATGAGTACAAAAAGTTTTAACAATTGTGAATACTTGTAGTGTAATATAATGTAACTTGTAAGTAAAGGTTGATAAAAAGATCCATTTTTGCTTTTCCAAGTGACAAGTTAATACTGCTTCCAAGGAAAATGAATATCAAATTAATGTAAAAAATCTAAAATAGCTTTGGGTTCTTAATTCAGTAAGACTGCTTCAGACAGCCTTTTCTTTGACTTTTATATGTCACAAAATCTATCAATGTTCACAAATTTACCACCATTTTCTGCCACAGTGAACGTCTATCTCCTTACTATCTATTTGACTCATGAGGCTTGAAGGAATTAGGAGGAACTTAAAGACTATGAATAATGGGCTATAATTTTGTTCTGGATTCATTCCTATTCCTGGGGTATTAAATTTTAGTGGATTTCCATGGTAAAGGCTAACTACAGATTAAAAATGTTCAAATACAAATTTACTATTAAGATTGTAGGCAGAATTTGTTTAAACCATGAAATAAAGTATCTAGGAAAATACAATTATTCTTAGATTTACGAAAATTGGTATCCACAAAAATAAAAATGTTCTCAATCCACAAAAGTTTATACCTACAAAAATAAAAATACAGTTCTTCCTCAGTCTATGAAAATAAATTAGTACCAAAGAAAATAAATTTTTTGTTTCATTACATAAAAATTGGAACCCATGAAAAAATATGCATCTGTAGTATTTAAGTTGAGAAATATTTATTTACTTGGAGGTCAGTAAAATATTACCGTAAAGGGATGTAAATGCAAAAAAAAATATCCCAAAAATTTTATTTTCATTTCATGTTTTCCCTCTTTTCAAAATTTCTTTATACAACCATTTTAAAGAGGTTTCCTGATTCAAGTGATAGTCAACATTTCAGAAATTCCCTTTCAGAGAGCATGATTTTATTCTGGTTTTAGGTGGGGATTGTGTTACTCAATCATAAATCTTTTAAATGATTTTTAGTTGGTTTTTGTCGATTTTTTTTTTGTCATGGTGTTCTCTGTCTATCGACAACTTTTGGTTTTGGTTTATCCCCTTGGTAGCGACTTGTTTTTTTATAAACATTAAATGCAAAATATTTTGGATACTCTTCTTTATGAAATTGTTATTTGTTGAAATGTTGTGAGAAAATCTTGTTTGTACAATTGTAAAATTCTTGACATCCATTATCACATTTTAATGAATGTGTTTACACTATGTACTTATAACATCTGTCCACTTATGCAAGGAAGGATTTAACAGCTGCAATAAAAGTCAGGTAAACGCATGATTTTTTTTTCTAGTAAAAGAAAAGGAATATATAAGATTTCCCCCTACATTGCTTAGCTTAACATATATCCTGCATGTTATTTCCGAATTAAACTCTTAGACACAAGCTATTTAATTCTCAACAGTTAATGTGGTTCTGTAAACAATTACCAGTAGATATTGACAGTATTGAATGAATATATAGTCGCTGTCATTTTGTTACTGTTAATAAACCCGTTGTTTCTTCTTGTGACAACATGAATGACATTTGTAGGTAAATTTCAATACTCAAGAGGATGTTCAAATGTCAAGATATTTGTTCTTGTAAATATTTTGTTTCCTGTATTTCCTCTATTACTTCAAAGTTCTAAGTGACCAGGTGCTAGATTAAAAAAAAAATTAAGTATTGTAATATATCAACATGTTTTTTTTTGCTTATGACTTCACGATCAGTTAGGCTACCCTGTTAAGGTTGATGTCTTTGTCGTATTGAAAAAACAAAAACATCAATTTGATGAAAGCAAAAAAAAAAAGAAGAAAAACAGTGGAAAAGACAGAGGAAAAGAAAGCAACATAAATCCCCTTTTCATACTCAGCAGATTAAAAACAAAAAATTTAATTTTGCCTGGGCACTTAGTTATATAATGGGTCATAGATAATAACTCAAAATCTCTTGCCATCTTACAAAAATGTTAATAAAATGAGATTTTGGGTATCTGTCAGTGAGACAGCAACCCAACAACTAAAATGACAAAAAGACATCAACAGGTCAACACACAGTCAGTTCAACAATAGACAGGTGTCTAAACTTTATGTCAAATTTAAAATCATTCTGAATCTATTTCAGTTATGATTATTATAAATCAATAAAAAACTGTCAAACAAATGCCATTAAAATCAAATTCTCCAAATAACAAAAAAAAAATAAAAAAATTAAAGAAATGACATAAGAGAACTTATACTGACAAGGTTCCTGGCTTGTCTGCCCTTTTTTGAAGGAACTAAATAAAAACACAAAGCAAATCTTGCATTTATCAAGTCAGTTTAGTGGTTGGAAAAATGCCTACTTACAGCTTAGAAACAATACAAAAAAGCTTTAGTTACAAATCTGATTGAATAACACAGGTAGGAATTTTCATTATGAATTTAAAGAAAAAAAAATCAGCTATCAAAATAAGACAAAAATTTAGATATAGTTTAAAGTTTTTCAATGATGATAAATTCTACAAGAAATGTTATAGGTGTTCTTTTTGGCTTTCTAAACTGTTGGTGTAATATAAGGAAGTTCATTAGTGCAAAAGTAATTGTAAAAAGCCTTTGTGTCTTATTACGGTTAACTAAATGTCGACTGCAAATGACAATCACAACGATAAACCCACATAATAATTCAGGAACAAATTTTATGGCCTTAAGATAAAACTGTGAGTGACTTGGACCTTACTGTCTACCATATATAGACAATAATAGTGTATTGACTTGACATTAAAATGATAAGAGAATGAGGCTAAGAAACAGGAAAAGTATGAGGCTCTGTTGCACTGAATTATTATATGGTTATATTACTGGGGATTCATTGTTATAAGTGCGATACCAATTTTTGTGGATTTTGTTTGTATATAGGAATGGACCATGATCAACAAAGTACATATGTTTTCTATTAAATGAAATATTGATGAAAATGCAATGTGTCCTCTATCCACGAAAATTGGTACCCATGAAAATAAATGAATCGACAGTCTATTTAAGTAGTACCATATTTATGTTTTTCTATAATGCAATTTACAATGAATTAATTCTGTATCCATGTTTTTTTGGTGTATTTTGTTTGTTCACATTTTTGTCTTAAATGCAAGAAAAAATACTCCTGTGAGCAAGCCTCATACCTTAACTGGACTAATATCCTGATATTTAAAGATGTGATGTATAGATATAGATCACTTCCACAGTGGAAGAGTACAATGGATTGTATTAAAGTAAAACAATACTGCATCAAAGTGTAACTTCTTTGTGTAGATGACAACATGAACAAAAATAACCAGGAGAAAATATGTATGGTCAAATTATTTAATGAGAATTTATTCTAGAAACTCACAACCTGACACATGATAGGGTTTCAAAAAGATCATATAATAAAGTCGTCATGAATGAGATATTAAAAAGTAGTTCCTAAGTAGGCATCAAGCCTTAAAGGGCTTTATACAGTCACTGTTTATTGCTTTAAGTTATATGGTAAATACAATTTGACTGCTTAAATATGATGATTGCATTATAAGGATAATTAAAAAATGTCTACAGACATGACAGACATATTCTCTTGTTTGAAGGACTTTAAATGACATGAATAAGATGGAGAATAAAAGTATAAAAAGTATGATAATAAGGAAGGTGTTTGAAGGGTATTAAATATACACATGGATTGTAGCTGGTCATTTTGCCGAGGGAAGAGTTCTTGCATATTTGTTGTTCTGTCTTCTGTGACCTCTTATCATATTTAAAACCCTGCACCAAAAGAGGGGCGTATAATGGTTTATCTCTGTCCTTCCGTCAAATGTTTCATTGCATTTTTTTCAGGAACTACAAATCGGATCTTCCAGAAATTTGAAATTAAGCTTCATGTTAGCATGCTGTGTTACTGACACAAGCAGCTCATCAACTTTATGTTTAATTAATACATGTACTTATATTATTCTTTCATATTAAATAGCCATGTATAAGTTCACTCTCAGGAAGTACAAATTAGAGCATCCTGAAATTTGGTATCAAGATCCACTTGAATACTTATAGCAAGGGTATCATAAGGGTGTGATAATTAGTAGCTCACATAATACTGTAAATTCAGAAATTATTGTGATGTTTTTATTAGTGTAAAAAATGCGACATTATAAGGTTCGCAATAATAAAATCTTGAATTCATAATGTTAGTACAATGTAGTGATTTTCCTTCATAAAATTTTTGCAGTCACATTAATTAGATTACCAATACATATTTTTGCCATTAATTGGTCAAGGATTTGCAATAATAAATGTACGCAATAATTTCTGAACTTACAGTACATCTTGTTATATTTTGATTAATCTTGAACTTTTTCATTTCTTATTTGACAGGATATTGATGATGACAGGGAAGATGGTGAAGTAAGGCGACCATTCCGTAGGAGAACATTATCCATCAGTTCTCGTGTTTCACGTCTGTCAACTGCCTCAGTTTCATCAACAGCACGGCCACTAGCAGCTACAACACCTACTACGCCAATAGACTTCCCAGATGACATTTCTCAGGTAAAATTACACTTGAAGTCATACAAATTTGGTTCTTAATTTATACAAAAGGTATTGGTGATGTAATTTGAATTTATAGAAAATCAGATGTCAGCATGAAATTTGGTCTCTGTCATGCAGTGGATTAATTTTTTTTTATGTAGAACTAATATTTTGAAAATGATATATGCACAAAAACACTTATATTGACAAAATGATTTATGAATTCAAGTTAAATATATATTGTTAATATTTTACCCTCATATACAATCAAGTTTGATGTGGGTGATAATTAAATGAATGAACGAAAGGAGTAGTTTTCAGCACTAAATTACATGAAATTAAAGTTAAGAAAATCGATTATCCTAAAACTTTGATTTTAAATTTCCAAAATTTGCTTAGTTTTGCTTTAGATGAAATTGGCCACATCCATGGATGAATAAAACTTTATGTTAGTATATCTATTTCACTCAAATTATGTTGGTCTATGTTCCTAGGTTGTCTTCAATGTTTTTTTTTATGCCCCCGCAATAGCGGAGGGGGCATTAAGTTTTACCCTTGTACGTCCGTACAGAAGTCCGTATGTCCCAAAGTTGGTTTTCATTCTTTAACTTTAGTTTGCCTCAACCAAATGTTATGAAACTTATATAAAATGCTTATTACCACAAAACACAGATCAATTTCGAATGTTGGTGGCGTCACTTTAACCATTCTAGAGTTATGCCCCTTTACAAATGGAAAAATTGCTGAATTTTTCGTTTCTGTTCTCTAACTTTAGTTTGCCTCAACCAAATGTTATGAAACTTATACACAATATTTATTACCACAAAACTCAGATCAAGTACAAATTTGGGTAGCGTCACTTTTACCGTTCTTCAGTTATATCCCTTTATAACATTATATGATATGCAAGCGGGGGAATCATCTGTGTCCCATGGACAAATTCCTCATTTATTATACAACCGCAAAAGATTTTTGTGGTCGTATATTGGTATGACGTTGGCGTTATCATCGTCCGGCGTCGTCGTCGTCGCCCGAAGACACATTGGTTTTCACACTCTAACTTTAGTTTAAGTGAATGGATCTCTATGAAATTTTACTATAAAGTTCAATACCACAAAAGGAACGTGGGGATTCATTTTGGGGGTTATGGTACCAACAGTTAAGGAATTAGGGGCCAAAAAGGGGACAAAAATAAGCATTTTCTAGTTTCCAGACAATAACTGTGGAACGGTGTATGGATCTCTCTGAAATTATACTAAAAGTTTCCATACCACAAAGGGATGGTTAGGATTTGCTTTGGGGGGTTATGGCTCAAATCGTTTAGGAATTAGGGGCAAAAAAGGGGGAAAAACAAGGTTGTCCTGGTTAATGGACAAATACTTTAGTACAAAACATAATTTAAAGCAGTGTAAGGGAGATAAATCAAATACATCATTGAAATTATCTCCTTTACACTGCTTTTAAATTATGTATAAAGTAATGGTTAATGAACAATTAAGATAATTTAAAACAGTGTAAGGGAGGTAATCCGAATACAACGTTTTGGTTACTTCACTTACACTGCTTTTAAATTATGTTTAAAGAAATGCATATTTATAAAGGAAGACCAGTAAAAATATCTGCAAATGTTGCATCTTTTTTTTTTACAAAAAAATCCATATGAAAGATTTGACACTATATTTTAAATTCTATTATAAAATAGATTAAGTTAGCACTATGGTAAATTTAAATGGGTAATTATGGTTGCAAACTCCATTGGAAATTTGAATTGAGATTATGACCATATCATGAGGGAAAGAATTTTTTTGGGGCAAAAAAGGGGGGGGGGGGGGGTAAAAAGAAATTGTGGGGGATCAATTTTTTCTCATTTCAGATTTCAGAAATTCAGAATTATTCTTCAAATATTATTTTTTTTTCAGATTTCAAATATTGAAAAATTTCAAGAAGTAATCTTTAATTGCACAGTATGTCGCATTAGATTTGAAAAATCTTTGACCACATTTATTTACTTGTTATGCCGAATCTAACTGTGTATTTAGATTTTTAATTTTGGGTCCAGTTTTCAAATTGGTCTACATTAAGGTCCAAAAGGTCCAAAATTAAACTTTGTTTGATTTTAACAAAAATTGAATATATGGGGTTCTTTGATATGCTGAATCTAAACATGTATTTAGATTTTTGATTTTTGGCCCAGTTTTCAAGTTGGTCCAAATTGGGGTCCAAAATTAAAGTTTGTTTGATTTCAACAAAAATTGAATATATGGGGTTCTTTGATATGCTGAATCTAAACATGTATTTAGATTTTTGATTTTTGGCCCAGTTTTCAAGTTGGTCCAAATTGGGGTCCAAAATTAAAGTTTGTTTGATTTCAACAAAAATTGAATATATGGGGTTCTTTGATATGCTGAATCTAAACATGTATTTAGATTTTTGATTTTTGGCCCAGTTTTCAAGTTGGTCCAAATTGGGGTCCAAAATTAAAGTTTGTTTGATTTCAACAAAAATTGAATATATGGGGTTCTTTGATATGCTGAATCTAACCATGTATTTAGATTTTTTATTTGTGGACCCCGCTATCAAATTGGTTCATATTGAGGTCAAAAGGGTCCAAAATTAAACTTCATTTGATTTCATCAAAAATTGAATTATTGGGGTTCTTTGATATGCCAAATCTAACCGTGTATTTAGATTTTTTATTTTGGGTCCTGTTTTTTAAATTGGTCTACATTAAGGTCCAAAGGGTCCAAAATTAAACTTTGTTTGATTTTAACAAAAATTGAATTTTTGGGTTTATTTGATATGCTGAATCTAAACATGTGTTTAGATTTTTGATTATGGGCCCAGTTTTCAAGTTGGTCCAAGTTGGGGTCCAAAATTAAACTTTGTTTGATTTCAACAAAATTTGAATATATGGGGTTCTTTGATATGCTGAATCTAAACATCTATTTAGATTTTTGATTTTTGGCCCAGTTTTCAAGTTGGTTCAAATTGGGGTCCAAAATTAAACTTTGTTTGATTTCAACAAAAATTGAATATATGGGGTTCTTTGATATGCTGAATCTAACCATGTATTTAGATTTTTTATTTATGGGCCCGCTATCAAATTGGTTCATATTGAGGTCAAAAGGGTCCAAAATTAAACTTTGTTTGATTTCATCAAAAATTGAATTATTGGGGTTCTTTGATATGCCAAATCTAACAGTGTTTTTAGATTTTTAATTTTGGGTCCCGTTTTTTAAATTGGTCTACATTAAGGTCCAAAGGGTCCAAAAATAAACTTAGTTTGATTTTAATCAAAAATTGAATTCTTGGGGTTCTTTGATATGCTGAATCTAAACATGTGTTTAGATTTTTGATTATGGGCCCAGTTTTCAAGTTGGTCAAAGTTGGGGTCCAAAATTAAACTTTTTTTGATTTCAACAAAAATTGAATATATGGGGTTCTTTGATCTGCTGAATCTAACCATGTATTTAAATTTTTTATTTGTGGGCCCAGCTATCAAGTTGGTTCATATTGAGGTGAAAAGGGTCCAAAATGAAACTTTGTTTGATTTCATCAAAAATTGAATTATTGGGGTTCTTTGATATTCCAAATCTAACCGTGTATTTAGATTTTTAATTTTGGGTCCTGTTTTTTAAATTGGTCTCCAAAGGGTCCAAAATTAAACTAAGTTTGATTTTAATAAAAATTGAATTCTTGGGGTTTTTTGATATGCTGAATCTAAACATGTGTTTAGATTTTTGATTATGGGCCCAGTTTTCAAGTTTGTTTAAGTTGGGGTCCAAAATTAAACTTTGTTTGATTTCAACAAAAATTGAATATATGGGGTTCTTTGATATGCTGAATCTAACCATGTATTTTGATTTTGGACATTGGACCGTAATAGGTAAATTAAAAAAATTCAAGTACTTAGACCACATTCTTTCTGTGTCAGAAACCTATGCTGTGTCAAATATTTAATCACAATCCAAATTCAGAGCTGTATCAAGCTTGAATGTTGTGTCCATACTTGCCCCAACTGTTCAGGGTTCGACCTCTGTGGTCGTATCAAGCTGCGCCCAGCGAAGCATTTTTTTTTAGAAATAAATTGACTTTGAAATGCATTTAAACAGAAACAATATCATAGTTTTGAAGCTTTAAGAACAGTCGAAAACAATTAACAGAAAATATATAACATATTTATATTTTCAGGGCTGAATTATGGCCTTCCTGGCCATACTTCATTACACTCAGTTACCCTGATCAAACAAATATTATATAAAACACAGGACAGAATTTCGATGAACTATAGATGAAATAATTAATTGTGCTTAAAATTTTATTTTTCCAGGATTCTTTTAGAACTGATGGTACATCCCACATCAATCGTCCTATGTACAGACGACAGCAGTCAGACATGAGAGATCAAATGCAAATACTAGAATATGCATCCTCACCCCTTGCAGAAAGAAGATTTAGAACATTTTAGGCAATATTGAGAGATATATATGCATTCTGCCCATTTCCTGAAAGGAGACTCAGAACAATATAGGCAAAGTCTGTATTTGTATCTTACCATTTTCCTGAAAGAATTTGCAGAATATCATAACATTTTAGGCTAAATTATAATATATGCATCCTATTAGCAGATTAGTTGTATGAAAAAACTTCTAGAACATTTTTAGGCAAAATTGATATATGCTTCTTGCCCATTAACTGAATGTAGATTCTAAACATTATAGGCAATGATTGAGCATCCTACTAGTTTTCTGAAAGGATTTTCAGAACATTTTAGGCTAAATTATAACTTATGCATCCTACCAGTTTCCTGAAAGACCTATTAGGCATTTTTAGGCTAAGTTATAATATATGCATCCTGTAAGCATTCCATGATTTTTATTAAAGAATTGTCAAGACATTTTAGGCTAAATCATAATATATGCATTCTTCTGGTTTTATGAATGAATTTTCAGAACATTTTAGGCTAAATCATAATATATGCATTCTACAGGTTTTATGAATGAATTTTCAGAACATTTTAGGCTAAATCATAGTATATGCATTCTACCTGTTTTATGAATGAATTTTCAGAACATTTTAGGCTAATTCATAAAATATGCATTCTACCGATTTTATGAATGAATTTTCAGAACATTTTAGGCTAAACCATAATATATGCATTATACCGGTTTTATGAATGAATTTTTAAAACATTTTAGGCTAAACCATAATATATGCATCCTGTTTATATGCTACCACTATTATAAAAGAATTTTCAGAACATCTTGGGCTAAATTATGATATATGCATCCTACCAGTTTTATGAATGATTTGTCAGAACATTTTAGGCTTAATTATGAAATATGCATCATGGCCACTTACTGAAACAATATTCAGAACATTTTATGCAAATAAACTCATCCTAGATACCAGGATGCCAGACACACGTTTCGTCTTCAAAAGATTCATCAGTGATGCTTGAATAAAAAAAATTAAAAGGGCCAAATAAGATACGAAGTTGAAGAGCATTAAGGACCAAAAATTCCAAAAGGTTTTGCCAAATACAGCTACAGTTATCTATTCCTTGGGTAGAAAAATTCTTAGTATTTCAAAATTTCAAATTTTTTGTCAAAGTTTGTAAACAGTTAATTTATAATTGTGATCATGACAATTCATGTCAACACAGAAGTGCTGGTGATACCCTTGGGGAAGAAACCTCCACCAGCAGTGGCTATATCCTAGTGGTTGTAAATAAACTCATCATAGATACAAAATAGAAGTAAAAGCATTCATTTCAGTCACTAGAAGAAGATATGTTTTTTTTGGCAAATTTGCGTCCTGTCATCTTTCTGAAAAAGATGCAGATTAATTTATTTAAAATATGTTTTGGGAAGTAAGGCAGAAAGAAAACAGAAAGCAATCATTTTTTTCATGTTTTTTTTCCTTCAAGACTTTCTATGCTTAAATGTTCTCAAATATGAGAAAAAAACAGTTTTTATGAAATTAAAATTTGTTTTAAAAGAATTTCTAAATTTACAGAATATCATTTTTTGGTACTTGCAGACAAAATCATTATGTCAAAATATTTACCAATCCTATGATTTGTTTTAATGATATAAACATTTGGTTTATAGATTACATATGAATTTAAAAGTGGTGTTGCATTTCTCTTGCCATGCAATAGGTTTCATATTGAATAATTTGTATCCTATTAAAATGAAAATTGAAATTTTTGTTCTTAGAAAACCAAAGTAAAAATTGGCTTGAAACAAATCTTTGTAATTAAAGAGAAAATTGATGATCGTATTGTGATTTGATTGTAATGCAGATTTCCATCAAATTCTTGAATTGATTGCAACTCTTAGGAAAGTTGCCTCAACAATCCTGATTGTTTTTCTTTGCAAAATTCAAAGCTAGTAAAGCTCAATTGATTTTTCCTTTTTAGTACCGGTGGATTTGCATTTTGTTCTAACAGAAGACATATAGTTCACTTTAATTTATACATGAGTTTATTTAAGAATAAGAAAGAATAAGCAATTAAAAAAAATATATAAAAATATTGGAACATCGCAGAAAAATCAGCCAAACTGCTATGAAAGAACTTGTTCGATTAAAAAAGTAACACAGTGACAAGAACAAGCAATTAAGAACATTTTTTTTTTACAAAGTCGCTTCTACTGAAATCTAGAAGTTCCCTCTCTACCCCCTGAAATACAATTTTTCCCCTTGTGTTTCATTTTTGTCATGGATTCAATTTGAATTCTGGACAACTAATGTACTTGAGAAGTTGAATTTTTATTTATGTGTTATTAAACTAAATAATGTTGCAAAAACATAAAATTTTGAATGATTTGATAAAACTGAAGATGTTTGATTAATATATTGTATACATGTAAAAACAGGATAAATTACATTGTGATTAACTTAAAATCATATGTACAAACAACAGTATGTTATTTGTATTCATTATGTCTGCTCATTTGGGTCAAGTGCAATAGACTTAACTTTCAGGGTCAAATGTTTGTATTTATATTTATTGTGTTTCTGTAAGAACTTTCTTAGGAAAGGGAGACAACTGCAAGACATTGTAATATTTTGAAATAGATTTGTCTCCCTTTATCTATATTAGACTCACCTCTGCAACTATGAATGTATGTCACATTTGTTCTTCCTAATTTTAATTTAGAATGAACTCTTTTTTGTTGTTGTAGTTTTCAAAATTTGTGTAATAATTGTCAAGTGACGAGTAAGTGTGTCTGTGTCAAGTCGGGAACCTCATCAGTTGATGTCTTTAGTTATATCTCAATGGTGTATTGGAAATTTAGTGTGGAATTTAGATCTTTGAGAGTCTCTGTAAAGTTTTTTCACACTTGTTTTTTAATCTTAGGGATTTCAAGCTTGAAATGTTTTAAAGACATATGGTTATGTTGTTTTCTAGATATCTTTTCATTTTGTTTGATGTCAGTTGCTATATCTCAATGACAAATACTCAATATCTCTTTTATTCATACAAAAAGTTTCTGTGAGTAAGATTTCAGAAAAAAGTATGATATATATTAATCAAATGCAATTTTCTTCCTCTTTACATATGCAGTGAAGTAAATTTTATGACTAACATGTATTTATATATTTAGTTATTGTGCACATTTGTCTATGCTTTAATTAATATCTGTCAACCATTATGTGACATCTGTCATCATCTAGCAAACTAATTTTCTGTAAATTTTCATTTTTTTCAATGAAAAATAAATTGCATTTCAAAGTGATTCTCACAATGTGTATCTGATGATATATAGATATTTATAGATTATAACATATCCTTTTCCATATTAGCCCTGGTATCATCCAGAGACTTTAAAATCAGCCAAGGCGCTAGCCGAGGGCTCATATGGGTCTAGGGATGATATCAGGGCTCATATGGAAAAGAACATGTTATAATCTATTTATCGCATATTATACAAATGCTTTAAAAGAAAAAAGAATTTCATTGTTCTGCCGGTCTGGCAAGTTCATACATGATTTGTCCTCCACTGAAATAACTTAATTCATGATAACAAAGCTCCCCAACAGTTCAAAACTATAGTCCTTGAATATTAGAAATATGAATAGGGCAAATCTGCGGTTATTGCATATGCAAAACCCAATGTTTTCGTAACAAATATGTGATAAATATATATATATGATGTGGTCAAGGACAACCTCATTAGTCCTGATAATTGAAGTTGAAACCAGTACTAGTTGGATAATTGACTTTACAATTTTGATTTTATTTATGTATATAAATTATATTTAATATATTAATGAGGCAGACAATACTTAAAGCAGCATTTGGTGTTATGTTTTCATTGTAAGGGGTACATCCATGGTTTTTGCCTGGGGTGCTTGAACTGAAGATTTTAATGGTTCAAATGGCTAAGATTAAACAGATTTCATGTTAGATTGAAACGAATATCAAATGAAATTAACAATGTTTAAGGACTATTATCAGTCAGAAATCTTTTTGATGTGATTGTGAAACAAGTATTCAATAAACAAGATATTTTTCTTCTGTCTGATTTCGTTCCATTTGACTAGATTTTGATAGTGGATATAATTTTTTAAATTGTTTAAAATGTGCAATATGAACAATTTGGATATTGTTGTCATAGATATTTATGTTCATATCTGGTATCCTTTTTCTGATATTTTGAATATTGCCTTTCTCCAGAAATGAATGTTCTTGAGGAATGAGCAACATGTGAAATATTTTTGCATATGTTTAATGTTGAGACTAAGGAGATATTCTGGTAAAGACATAAATGATAAAGAAAAAATGTCAGTATCTTCTTCAATTTGTGTTGTGCTACAAGGAGTATTTTGCAATCTTCTGTGTAATTACTGGTACTAAGTTATGTTTATATATTGTTCCCAGTTATTAAAGGGAAAACTTTCTAAACCTAACATGTTTAGAGCACTGCAGATATTGTTCACACTAGACAGGTTTTCAGTTTACACAGGTATACTTTCTGATGAATATTTATTGAATATCCTAATACAATAGTTCACTGTAGTACATATTTCCATATAATATTGCACATGGTTTGGTTTAGACAAGCTTCACATTACAAGTCAAAAGGGAAATAACTCTATTTGAATGCTAATCTAGTTTAACATTCATTTTATATATTATGGAAGATATTAGTTTATGATCTTTTGATCATCAGTCTATGCCTTTATTGTTTTATTTTGTAAGAAATGTGCAATATACAGTAGTGAGTGGTTTACTTGTTGATGTTTACATATGTTTTACAAGTTGTTTTTGTGAAATAGTTGGATTAAAATAATTGCCCTTCATAGTAATTGTTTGTTATAATTTCGTAACCAATTATACCTATTTGCATAAATATAGAGTAAGTGTTCAACTAAATGGTATATTTGGTTATCTGCAATGAGACATTCACAGTTCATCAATATCATAAGTTGACCTAACATTTGCTCACCTGGTTTAAAGACTATATACTTGAGTGTTCAATTTTATAGAAATAATCTAACAAAATAAGTGATACATTACTGACTTGCATGACAATCATTTGAGCTCATTTAAATCTATCCAAGCTACCTTTGCTTGACATGAATTTTAGATTGCTTGCGCATGTGCTCAACATGTATAGTTATTGAAAAAAATGTCGACTGAAAAATTGAATTAGAGGACCTTTTTCAATGTCTGACTTGGCCTTCAAAAATCACTCTAACTCAAGATACAGGTTGTACTTGATGAGTGAACAGAACTAGTACAATTGTCATTATACTATTGCACGTGCTATTCTGGATAATATGTTAAAATTTACCTGTTTACATTCATGTGGAGTAAAATTCCCATCTTCAATTTTTAGGTTTCATGTCAATGGTTAATTAAAGTAATATATAAATCAAATTTGAGAGTTTGATTGATGGACTTGAAGTTGGAAGCTAATGCCCATTTTATGCTATCCGATCAAATAAGGTCCCCAGTAATAAAAGGATGACTGTTTGATCAGTTAAGCTCAATATTTATAACATTAGATATTAAAGAGGTTATGGTTTGCCTACTAGCAAAAAGCAGATTTTTTTATGCACGAAGTACAAGTGTGTTTAGCTGAAACATCAGTTAATGTTGATCAGTCTTCCTGAATTGTTTTGTAAAAATAAAATTCACATAGTTCCTGTAAGGGATACACCTAATTATTAATGCTTAATATTTTACCTCATTCTGTCAGTTTTCAAAATGGTGTGTGACATGACTGGAACATTAGAAAATATTCTTAGTTAATATCCAAAGCCTACAAAAATTCGGAAAACTACTGAATTAGATGAGTGACAACACTGTTTGGTTTTAAAAGAGAAAACTATTTTCAGAATTACAATAAGTCGAGTTAGAAACACGTTCAATCACTTTACATTCAACATGCAAAGTGTTTAAACTCATAAGAATATTACTATTTGTTGGTGCAGTTAATAACGCAGTTTTAGAATATGACATTGAAGTCTATAAGCAATAGAAGAACAAAAATGCTCTGATAGTTCATCAGACTAGGTTGACTTAAAAAAGTCACATTACTGTGACTTGACTATAAGTGTTGCACTCCACCTATTGCAGTGTCATTCCCGATACTTATTCGATTGCAATTTCTTTCATCATATAAAACTTGTTTACTGTTCAGAAATATAACTAAATTGCTATAGAAGAACCACAGTCAAGTCATCAATGATAATAGCAAAGCGAAAGGAAGCTTACTCACAATCCTATTAGATTTGAATTCAACTCCATGTTTGTAATATCAGTGCTACTATTACTGTCAATATTCTTTTATCCTTTCTCAATACACATTTACTAATATGTTTTACCAAATTGCAGTTTGTGTTCATTTCTACGAATTCAACAACTGGTAAAACACTCTATAGCTCATTATATAAGTGAAAGGTTGTTAGAATGAAGCATTCGTAGTGTAATAAAAGAAATAGCCCTACCCTCCAAATCATGTGTTTGGTGACAAAGCTTTTGGTAATTGTGAGCACCTAGTTTTAAGAAACACTACTTTAAAAAAAACATCCTTTCGCAATACATATTTGCTCAACTGTTTTACAAAATTTAAGGCAAAAGAGATAATTTCAGATTCCCCATTTGTTAACCTTTCTTATCTGTGTAACAAAATCCCAGCAGCGCCTGCATGTGGAGTATAAATCTTCCGGTTGCTGCGATATTCCACAGCTTACATTTACAATCATTTTCCTTGAGGCAGAATTGTTGCTTTCAGGAAGTTATTAAACAAAGAATTCCAAGTAATGAAATTGAGGTCATCTACTCAAAACGTTTACGGACGCCATCACGAGTGGTTGCCCGTTATGAAATTTCTGTTTCAGAGATGACGACGCATATGTCCGTGACCACAATCCCGTTCTCTTTTCCACCAATGTTACTTCACTTAATTAGACTTATCACCTAGTTTGTAGTTACGGGAGCAACACTACAGATGCCACATGTGGAGCATGATCTGGTTTCGCTTCTAGAGTACATTAGATCACCCTGGCATTTTCTATACCGTTTTTTTTTGTCTTTTGGTCGTTTTTCGTTTCCTTTCCATGGCGTTGTCAGTTAGTGGTGAACTTATGAGTTCGAAAAATTACTTTGGTATCTTCCGCCTCTTTTTCACAATATCAATCTCCAGTCATATTTGATAATACAATTTCCTGATAATGTACTTTGCATACAACATTACCTGGATTAGTGATTAAAAACAAATCATAGTTAGCTGTACAAAAAAAACCAAAACAAAACTGGGATGACAACACATGTAACAACTTAGAATAGAAAACCAAAGGTCTGATTTACGCTAAAACAATAAAAGAAGATATGGTAAGCAGCAACAAACGACAACCACCTAATTACAGGCCCATGGCATTCGACGGTCACATGAAGAATGTGGACTGGTTTTTGATCTCTTTACCACTCCCCCTACCCCCATCCCAACAACCCCTAATCCTGGAATAATGGTGTAACACACAACATAAGAACACACTGTAACCATCAGTTAGCTGCATGCATCAAAACGCTTTTTAGCCCCGAAACAAATTACGTAATGACAAAAGACACAAAGTAGAGATCTTTGAGTACTTGCAGTTACTAGAAGCTTGTTCAAAGCACAATTTCAACAACTAATATACTATATTCCCCAAAACTTAAATTTTCGGAATACTCCTCCGATGGATCTAGTGTGAAGAGTATTCCAAGCATCCCAATCTTAAGCACGGCATCCGTAGAGTAAAGAGTTGCAAAATTACTGGCAGATTATGCTTTGAATGCTGATAAATTTGATATCATTACTTTGAAAAGTGGTTTACATGAACAAAAGGCAGACAAAGTAAAGTTCGTATACTGTTCGTATCAATTGAGACATTTAAACGTCGTACATTAAGACAACAAATAGAGGGTAAACATATGCAGTATGCATGAATTATTTATGGAAAAATTCAAAAACATAAGATCCAAAAGGGCGTTTGCGGTTCAACCCATTCCGTCTGAGTCGCAACCTTATTTTGAGTACTATTGATTAATCCTTTAACTGAAAGCCTACCACAGAATGTATCATTTTGAAAATCTTGTAGGCTCACTGACTATGGGCGTTATGATGAAATAACAATTATCACACTTGCACGAGGTTAAAAAATAAAGCATATGAGATTATAAATCAATGGAAAAAAGAAGTACAAACTTTCTCATATAACTATAATCCAAGCTGTACTCATGTTATTCATAATTCCAAAAGAAAAGATTATCTGCTTTAAGAATATCATTTCGCCATCTTTTACGTTTTCTGTCGTATTTCGTGTCGTTTTTACAATATATTTATTTATTTTCTCATTCCAGTAAGAATATAATTGTTTTAAATATTAATGATTAAAATCAATGTTCGCACAAGTGTTTATGGTGATGTGAGCAATCAGTGCTGTCCCATTTGCTACCAATCAAAGCCAAGCATTGATGCTGACGTTCTTCAACCTTGGATTTCCAATGGCTGTCATGTGCACTTATCCTCATACCATTCGTCCAGTGCCAGCGTTTATTGTGATCCAAACTAAATGACGCTCCTAACCAAACATGTCCTTCATCTACATGAAATACAACATTAATATATATACACTTATCGTATACTCATTTCTCGTGTCATTCAACATGTTCATGTGAGCTAGTTTTTTTTGTATCATTTAACATTTCGATACATGTAATATGTTGACTAAAACACAGGTCGACAGTTTTGGTAGACATCAGACGTTTAGTTCTACCATCATAATTTTGTGTTTTTGTATTTTCACCAAGGTTTCTATTTAAACAAAACTCATCGAAGATACCAGGCTTTTAGTTTTGTACGCTGGAGTCGTGTTTTGTAACTTTTGTATATCAAGCAAACATATGTAAAAAATTTCAATCAAGTCTATCTTTTTAATTTTAATACTTTTTTTTATTAAGAAATGAGGTCTTTTGATAAATAAGAGCCAGCAGTTAATACGGATGTTCAAAACTAGTAAATCTATTCTGGAAATACAGATCTACATTAGAATAAAAAAAAAAAGGATTATATGAAATGCAAATTCTGTATGGATGCGTTATGAAATCCATTTCTCTCTGTATTATATTTCCTTATGTTTTCATATTAATGCATGTAATATTTGTATAAATATACATATGGAACATTTACACATCAGACCGTACTGGTAACCGGAGCTTTGGATACACCAAATCAGGTACTTCATATCTGAGAAAGAGGCAATATATGCCCTTTATTCTAGAATTCATTCAGTCATTTTTGTGTAAGTCAAAATTATAAGTCAAAATATGTTCTACAAGGATCATTAGTGCTTCACCTTTCATTTGATACCTAACTTACCAAGATATATTCTATTTTTTGTATTAAATATGTACTACTTTACAGTATGTTCTTTTTAACCGGGCCCGATTTGGTGGTGTTATAAAGTCTATCCGAATTATTTTACTATAATTCCTCTCAAACCGATGCTGGGGGGGGGGGGGGGGGGCATCTCAACCTTTCAGTAAGGTGAGAGTTTATATTGCTCCGTATTGAAGGCCTCACTCTCACTGTGACTTTGAGATGAATAATAGCAATGCAAGCGCTGTTCCTTTGCTTTTAGTGTTGTTTTTTGTTTTTTGTTTTTTTTTGCTGTGCATGCACTGATTTTGTGGCATGGAAGGATACCACATGTCCTATGTGTTTCTATTAAATATACATCTTACAATGGTTTTTATGCCGGACGAAGTTAACTATTGCATTATGCTCCTTGTCGCTGTCAATGACTACCAT